GTGTGTGGTATCCTCAACTCAGATCCACCTCGCGCTGATCCCATCTACTTTCAAAACACCAAGATGAGGACGCTGAACGCGCTCAGCTTGACGTTTCATAACGGGGCTTCACTATCAAATGAGTGACGCCACAGCACGATCAATCTTTTATGTGAGTGGGAGTACAGCTCAGTTCTTTCTCGTAATCTTCATGTTGGCAACATTCTCAGTTTTTGTGTCTTAGCTAAATACAACATGAGGCTTCTCATTTAACATTAAAATCATTGCATAAGTCTGCATTGTTTTATTTGATTTATTTAGTTTTTTGTCGCCTTTGTGGCTCAGAGTTACAGAAAAGAGAACCACCTAGTCCTGAGCTGCAACTGAAAGACATCAGACAACAAAAAAGGGGAGAAATGACATGAAAAAGCAAACATCGACAAGTTTCTAGCTTCTCTGTCTTCAAAAGCTTAAAGAAGATACTTGATAATACTAGTAAATGAAATGTTGCAGGCATGACTTCAGGTATACAGTAAACAGCGATTTAAAAAAAAGAACTACAATCATATTTACTGTCAAACTCACTTCCATTGTGCACAATCTCAGTTATTTATAACCCTTTAATTATTCAGATGCTCTGATTAATTGTTGTTGCTTAATCAAACTAACAAAACTGTTGTCGCACCAAAAGAAGATCAAAAATCTGATAAATGCAGTGTGTGTCTGTAAGCACGGGGCAAAAAGAGGCCACAACTGAACTGAATTTTCTGGACACTAATGCTCTGTGTCTCCCACCATAGGGTTTTCTTAATTACATTAACCAAATGCATTCTGCAGTGTGTGCAATCTCATGGTTAACTGAACACGCCCGTAGCTGCAGCCCCCTCCCCGTTCTATTCCTTGGTGAAATATTCATGTTGAAAGCCACTCTTGCCATCCACTTTCTCCTTCCAACATGTTAATGCCCGCTGTTGTTCAGCCATGCTACCATTGTTTGAGACTATAGTCTTCAGCATACAGGTAACACCTAAAAATCTGCCCCTGCTGTGTGATCTAAAGTTAATGAAAGGGTCCAACTATCAGTCCTGCTGAGACCATCATCATCACCAAGATGAAAATCCTGTATTCTTGTATATCCATATGTATCTTTAGGAAATGCATCTCTTTGGGAAAGCACATTTGTATTTCTTCGTGTCTGCACAGCACACTGATTCAAATTGACCAGGCAGGACTAATTTAAATACATTAACTATTCATTAATTGAATAAAGAGGCTAGTTGGCCCCAGGGCCTCTTTATAATCATAAACTGGGGTGTACTGTTTATGCAAAACAGCAAAGTGCCATGTGCTGGCTTATTATGCTAATGATGAATGGCAAAATACATGTTTCTCCTGCCCACAAAGGAGGATTAGGCATGGCAGTGTCAGCAAGTTGTTTCCAGGGTACAGAGTCTGTTCTTCCATATTACCTCATGTTGAGATGGGGCTCAGTAATGTGATTCTTTTCGTTTTCTTCACGTGGATATGATCACACACCCCTCCCTACACCAACTCTTCCTCTATCTCGAAACATTATATCGCAAGGACTCAACTAAACTGGACGACTTCACACTCTCGCATTGACTTATGAAGTTATCTGTAGTTGAAGCAATCTTTTAACTTTCCACATTCTCAGATATTGTTTATGATCCAAAACCCACGCTCTATATTTCTTAAACTGAAAAAAATTAACTTAAAAACTACTTTAACTAAAATTACTAAAACCTAAACTAAATTAAGTAAATACTAAAATCTACAGTGCAAAAGTGTTGAATCAGCCTCACACTTCTTTATACTGTTTTAGGAAAATGGGAAATAAATAGTGTATCTGAGGCAAAAAAAAACCAAAAAACAAAACAAACAAAAAAAAAACCCCAGAGTGTTCTTCAACATATCCTGAGCTCTCATACAGAAGCTTTCTTGTCATTTGTTGAAGTAGTCTTCATTAATAGTTCTCCAGGCTTCTTGAAGGACATTCAAAGCTCTTCTTTGGATGTTGGCTGCGTTTTGTTCCATTCTCGGTCAAGATGATCCCACATTGCCTCAATAATGTTGAGGTCCAGGCTCTGGGGAGAGCTATTCATGGATGGATGGATGTCAGATCCATTGATTTGACAAAATCTCCAACACCACTGGCTAATATGTGGTATGATATACAATATCATATATGATATGCTATACAATATGTTATACGAATAACAGTCTTGGGAAATAGTTTATTTAGTTTATGTGGGAGAAACGGAATTATTTAACACCGCACAAAAAGAGCAAATGCCAAATTTTGGAACCACTATCTTCAAAGTGAAGTTCATCCTTCCACCTAAGAGTTTCTTGTTACTGACTTTGTACTGTTTTTCTTTGATTAACTTTATTAATAATATCTAACAATATCTATTAATGATAACATGATATCTATCAGTTATCTGGACTGCTATCTTTACATTCAAGATATCAAAGACATCAGTAGGAATAAATCTTGATCTTTATTGCCTTATGGATGGTATTAAAGGGACGGTATGAAAATTTTGGCAGTGGGAAGGATGACTAAATCATATATGCATACTTTACATTAATAAATACATGCATATACCACCAGTAAAAAGTTTGGACATGTCTTCTCATTTAATTGTTTTTCTTTATTTTTACTACTTTCTACATTGCAGATAGATACTGATGACATCAAATACATGACACAAGATATATGGAATTATGTAGCAAAGAATAAAATTGATAAATAATTCACAGGCGTGCCTTGTCAGGGTTCATTTGTGGAATTTCTTGCTTTCCTAATGGTGTTGGGACCCTAAGTTGGGTTGTGCAGAAGTCAGGTTGGTACACAGCTGCCAGCCCTATTTGACAACTGTTAAAATTCATATTATGGCAAGAACCAATCAGCTAAGTAAAGAGAAATGACAGTCCATCATTACTTTGAAAACTGAAGGTCGGTAAGTCCAGAAAGTTGCTAAAACTTTGAAGTGTAGTAGCAAAAACCATCAAGCACTACGACAAAACTGGCTGACATGAGGACCACCCCTGGAAAGGAAGGAGTCACCTCTGCTACTGAGGATAAATTCATCCGAGTCACCAGCCTCAGAATTTGCAAGTTAACAGCACCTCAGATTAGAGCCCAGATAAATGCCACACAGAGTTCCTGTAGCAGACACATCTCTACATCAACTGTTCAGAGAACATGCGAATCAGGCCTTTTATGGTCAAATAGCTGCTAAGGAAAAGCAGCAAGCAGAAAAGATTTGTTTGGGCCAAGAAACACAACGAATGGACATTACACTAGTGGAAATCAGTACTTTGGTCTGATGAGTCCAAATTTGAGATCTTTGGTTCCACCCGCCGTGTCTTTGTGCGACACAGAAAAGGTGACCGGATGGTCTCTATGTGTATGGTTCCCACCGTGAAGCATGATGGAGGAGGTGTGATGGTGTGGGGATGCTTTGCTGGTGATACTGTTGGGAATTTATTCAAAACTGAAGGCACACTGAACCAGCATGACTACCACAGCATCCTGCAGCGACATGCCATCCCATCCGGTTTGCGTTTAGCTGGACAATGATTTATTTTTCAACAGGACAATGACCCCAAACACACCTCTGTGTAAGGGCTATTTAACCAAGAAAGAGAGTGATGGAGTGCTGCTCCAGATGGCCTAGCCTCCACAGTCACTTGACCTAAACCTGATCGAGATGGTTTGGGATGAGATGGACCGCAGAGTCAAGGCAAAAGGGCCAACAATTGCTCAGCATCTCTGGGAACTTCTTCAAGACTGTTGGAAAACCATTTCAGGTGACGACCTCATGAAGCTCATCGAGAGAATGCCAAGAGTGTGCAAAGCAGTAATCAAAGCAAAGGGTGGCTATTTTGAAGAATGTAAAATATAAAATGTTTTGAGTTATTTCACACTTTTTTGTTTACTACCACATAATTCCATATGTGTTCATTCATAGTTTTAATGCTACCCAACAAAAGAAATAATAGAGGCTACAAACTCTCAGCTAACCATCCAACTTGTTTCCAGAAAGCAGTTTAAAAATAAAGGGCATTAAGGAGATACATTAGTGCACATGGCACGAGTGACACACACATCTGTGAAGGGATTATCAGTGATGAACGATAAATAAATAAAGGTTTTGGAACAACATATGCTGCCATCCAGGCTTTGTCTTTTTCAGGCAACGCATTGCCAAACCACATTACAAGATTACAAGAGTAAAAGACAGTGGGTGCTGAACCGGCCTGCCTGTCGTTCACCCACTGAAAACGTTTTGGGGATTATGAAATACAAAATGTAACAAAAGCAATTGGCCTCCTCAGCTTCCAGATGCTTAAGTGTTTTGAAATATGTTTCTAAAAACATGTGAAAACCAGCATTTTTTTTAAATGTCCCAGTTTCAACATCTGATAGGATATGTTGTCTTTTTATTACTAAATATAGTGCATGACCAGTACATAACATTCCCACTAGTTACCCTCCCATCCTTCACTTTCTCCATCACTCTCAGACACACTAACACACATACACGCACATAGACACAATCAAAGATATTCCACAGCTGTTATCTTAGCAAGACTTTAACTGTGTCATGATGCAACAGTTATTCATTCAGTTCTATAGCAACTAACATATAGAATAATCCATCTAAATCCAGTAAGCAGTACTCGTATAATACTATAGTATTGCATATTTTACACACAGCCTTTTCATTTCAAATGCACCTTATTACAAGTTGGCAGAAAACACTTAAATAGTTCCCTAAAACTGTGTGTGTTACTCCCGTTCTCACTGGTTGCTCGCTGACCCACGTTGATTCTCCTGCTCTGGTCGTTCGTCAGCTTGCAACGTGGCGCCGGAATCCCTCTCGTGTTACCGACATCCCGTGGACCAATGGGGGATATTCTGGCAGTGGTTGAGGCTGGGGCCTGAATGAAACGGAGCCTGTGAATGGCTGTACGTAAGGCGGCAGGAAATCCCTGTTTGGTTGCATCCCTTTCATTGGGATAAGGGACAGGATTGCCTAAAACTGTGAGGAGTGTAGGTGTTCATAGAGGACCTGTTTGCGGGCGCAGGTTGCGTTTTGAGGGTGTTTGAACATTGCTGCAACATTGTTGCGCTCCGCCGCTGAAGACAGGACAAAAAGTCGGCGTTTAGCGGTCCAGCAGTGAAAGGAGCTACACAGCCGCTTGATCATTGTGTGTTGTGGTGTTGTAGGCCCGTTTTGGAGATCGCTGTGCCCTCTGAGAGAAGTCAGCTTGAACCCCGACTGATGGCCGGCTTCAGCTTCGTGTGCGCTGTGCTCCTCTGCGCCGCTGTGGCGCAGACCAAGCCGACGCTGAGAAAAGAGAGAGTTCATCATGAGCCAGAGCTAAGCAGGCAAGCCCACGAAGACAATAAGAGCTTCCAGTATGACCATGAGGCCTTTCTGGGCAAAGATGAGGCCAAAACATTTGATCAGCTCACCCCTGAAGAGAGCAAGGACAGGCTCGGGTAAGGAAATGCTACCAGCACTCTGCCACATAAGCTGATTTTTGGTATATGAAAGTGAAATTAGTGACAGGCTTGGTGGGATTTCGGAGGGCATGTTGGAGCTTTTGTGTTTGTTTGTTTGTTTTTTAAATCACACACTCTACCGCTGAAGCCCGTTTCGTGTAACTGTTCAGACTAAGAACACTAAACATTTAAAAACATGGGAACATGTGCCTGTGAAAGCACTCCAGCTTTATTATGGCACCCATACTGTTTGCACACACTGTACACTTAATAGTCTGCAGAAATCTTAATTACAAATACTCATTAAAGATTCATTTATGGGGTGAAGTTTAAGGAAAGTTTAATCGCCGAAGTTCTGCATGTAGGTATTCTGTACAAAACTGCAGTGCACGCTCAGTGTGCCACGTGGTTCTGTTGGCAGGATTCTTCAAGTATCAAACGTTTTTTTTCTTCTGCCACTGCTGCAGTGACAAGTTGGCACCATGTGACGCAAGTTAGTCCAGAAAACTGCTTGTTGTCTTGAAAGAGGGAGGACCCCTGTAATATCACAACGTGGCAGCCCAGGTCTAAGAATACACCACAGATGCACTGCAGTTTTTAGCTTTCTAACCTGGGTTTGCCTGCCCCTCCCTCAGAAATCCTTTCTATGAATCCACATTACTTGTAGGAAATTAATTATTTATTAATTATTAATCCAGCCTGTCATTAATCAGTATCTCATTACTAAAGTCTTCGGTCACTCTATATTTTACTTTTATACTTTCCTTCTTACATTTAATTGGTTTTCAAAGTTTTTCTTTGGACATCTGTTTTGTTTTCCCCCCTAATTTTTAGTCCATTCCTTTATTTTCATTTTTATTTCTATTTTTGTCTGTTTGTTTGTTGAATCACTTAACACTAACATGAATCTATTCAAGCGTTAAAAAGCAGGAAGTGGACAATCGGTGAACAATAAAAAGGAAGTAGCAGGCCTATAAAGGACTAATTACAGCAGATGAACAGTATCTGAAACTTATGTTCTTAAGAAAAAGGACAAAAATCAACCGAAGACTTGACGCAGGACCAGAGAAACGAATCTCTCTTTAGTTGGTCCATCTATTGTTCACTGAAAGCCTCATCAGAAGTGGTCCCAGTGAAAGGATCAATGTGAAGAAGCTTAAATGGGGGAGAAAAAGCAGAGATATCTGCACTGTATGTTGCCTATATGTGCCTATAAGATCTAGTTAATATATCACTAATATCTGTCTTTTCCCCTGCCCAACAGAAAAATTGTGGACCGAATAGACAGCGATGCAGACGGCTACATCACCACAGCTGAACTCAAGGCTTGGATAAAGCGCGTACAGAAGCGTTATGTGTATGAGAATGTAGCCAAGGTGTGGACTGATTATGACCTGAATAAGGACAATAAGATTTCCTGGGATGAGTACAAACAAGCCACATATGGATACTACCTCGGTATGGGCTCACTAGTTCAAGACACATGATGTATTTTGGGGTTTTTTTTTTAGTATTAAAGTATTACATGGCTATTAAACCTGATTCATTTTTTATTCATCTTTTTTTTTTCACCCTCTTAGCCAACCCGGAAGAATTTGAAGACGCCACGGACCAGTTCAGCTTCAAGAAGATGCTCCCTCGTGATGAGAGGAGGTTTAAAGCAGCTGATCTGAACGGGGACCTGGCAGCAGACAGAGAAGAGTTCACAGCCTTCCTCCACCCTGAGGAGTTCGAACACATGAAGGATATCGTGGTTCTGGTAAGCCCTTTGTGTTCATATGATCTTTAAGTAAGGAGTACGCACGTCAGACCTTAAACGAAGTGACGTTCCCAAAAGTAAGAGCACGTCTGCCTAATAAGAAATATGATTTAATTCCAAGAGTTTTGAGTTTCTGTTCCATGTATTTGATCTCGCTACTTAAATAAATGTGCTACATTTGACTAACCTCCTAATGAAATTTTAACTTGGCCCAGAAATGATTGAGTTCCTATATTTTTTTTGAGAACAGGTCCAGTGGGACAAACCGACCGTCCCATTTAAAACTCAATCTTAAAATATAAATTCGGCTTCGTGGAATGTGGGGTGGCGAATGTTAGCAGTGATGCACTATGCTGCTCTGTTCATAAAATTTGTACTACCCATTTGACAGAGTTAATTATTAATCTCTCATTTTTATGATGTTGCTGAATGTTACCAAAGAACGGTTCAGCCAGGGGTGTCTTCACTGATTGTGGTGAATCTGGCTAGAGCTAACACGATAGTCACACATACATATATGCTGCATTCATACTTTATACTTACAATGAATTTTTCAAAAACACTGATCTTTCTAAATCTATGCAAACGAATGAGTAACTGATGGTACATGCGATCATAGGAAAAACATTAGAAAGGATGTGGCTGTAGGCTAGCGTGAACAACAACTGAAGGAGATTGCTGTGCAGGATCAGGGAGGAACATGAAGTTGGTAAGCGCCAACTGGAAACCTACACACACACTTCACATTTCTACCTTCAAACTGCTTGTGTTGCTGCCATCTACTATTGGCACCAGAGAGCTCCTGCACACTACAAACGTGGAACAATACCAGTCCTTAAGAATAGTAGATTAAATTTGGTAGACGAGAAATCTTTCATTCTGAAGCGTAACACTTTGCACGAGCATTCACATGTATTTGGCCAAAGAAAACAGAACAGAACCGGTCGTAGTTAAGACAGAGAGATGTGAATAATCAAGGAGGCATAGTTATTGATTAGGAATTTAGGAAAACTAGTCAGGAAGCAAAACTCGGATGTATGTGGTGGTGTTTATGTAGGTCTTCATTTCTTCCTTTTAACACACCATTAAGAGAATTTCTGAATTTCAACCTAAAAAGAGTTACAAAAGGGTCAGTTTTAGTGATCTGAAACTGTTTGATGTGAAAGAAAGCTCATATAAAATGCTTTAGTTCATTGCTGAACTCATTGTTATTTTCCAAGCAAAGACAAGATTTTATAGCAGAACATAGGTTTTAATTATGATACCGATTATACTGCTGTAAATTGTCGTGTCCTTTTTGCATCCTTGTAAAACGGAGAACATTTTACCCTTTCAGTGTTTATAAAGATCTACACTGGAGAAAAATCTCTTTTTGCTTACCCTGTACAGGCTATGTGGGTTTAAGAAAAAGATTGTCTTTTTTCCTCTTAGTGAACTATTAGAAATTCCTCCATCTGCCCTTCTGCTACTTAGCAGGGCATCCTCCCTGCCCAAAACACTGAACCCAGGAGGCATCCAGGAGTCATCCAAGTCAGATGTAGGAGTAGCAGCTCTAATCTAAGTAACTCCAGAACAGCCAAGCTGCTTGCCCTGTCTGTAAAGGAGACCCCAAACACCCTTTGGAAGAAAATAGTCTCTGCATCATGTATCCAAGATTTCATTCTCTTGGTTGCTACCCAAAGTTCGTGACCATAAGTAAGAGTAGGAACCAAACTGACAGCTTTGCTTTCATGCTCAGACCACTACAGCATCCACATCACTGCAAGTGCCACCCCCACATGAACAAAACCCTGAGATACTTAAACTCCCTTCCCTTTAATTAACCAGTTAGCCAAATTCACATACTGTCAGATCCAGTATGTTACAGACAGTGTTGGGAAGGTTACTTTTAAAATGTATTCCATTACAGAATACAGAATACATGCCCCAAAATGTATTCTGTAACGTATTCCGTTACGTTACTC